GTCATTCAATACAGTTTTGGTTTTTTGCCCGCCGGTCAGGTCAACGTGGTCGACCTCACGCCTCGAGCCCGCCGACCGTCGACCTCATTTCATTCGGACATTACACTCGGTAGTGCTTGGGTAGCGCTACAAAGCGTTAGGCGATGTAAGTGAAAATTGTTAAGCAACGCATAAAGAACTAAACCCCTTAGGAAACTTGGACGCCAATTTGGGAGGGATCAACCCTAAATACGAGAAATTACATTGTCTTTAGGTTGATTCATTTAAAGTAACATCCATTTCGGACTGAATTTACTTTTGTTTTGAGTCAGGTGGGGTGCAACTTATTTTTCCAACTCACAACGTAAACCATCCCTGATCAGATAATGAAACTAGGTCAGAGGTCCACGTGGTGATCCCCGATTGATCCTAGGGAAGGGTTACAGGCATGTTGGCCTGGGGGTTATGGGCGCACTAACCCGCTACTTAAACAAGCCCTTTTTATCCCAATGGTCTAGTGGTTGGGATTCTGACATGGTATCAGAGCGGTCTTGGGTTCGAATCCCAGTGTGTGCACTTCGGGCATCCCAGTGCGGGGGGGTGTCAAGAGGTCCACCTGGTGATCCCCGATTGATCCTAGGGGAAGGGTTACAGGCATGTTGGCCTGGGTGGTTATGGGCGCACTAACCCGCTACTTAAACAAGCCCTTTTATCCCAATGGTCTAGTGGTTGGGATTCTGACAGAAACGTCCAGCAAAAGCACATGTAGAGTCCAAGGGATAGAGAAATATTGAAAATCCCAGAACGCAGTGCGAGAATGGTCCGACAGGATTGAGCAAAATACAAAATTTGTCAGATCGTGCAATTAACTCTGATAGGCTCTAAGGGAGGGTGTTCTTGGCGCTGTCTTATAGCGATTGGTCAGTTCTATTTACACATGTTTTTCACCATAGAAGATTATAGTATAGTGGAATCAAGATGGATAAAACACAGTTCATAGTCGTTAGATCACGTTTCGGTATGGTTAAATTAGACAAATCGAATCAAACAAGGTCTGCAAGCCAGTTTCAAACGATTCAGTATAGCGAGAAAGATGGTGTATGAGAAGGGTGAGTGTACTATTTGGAGACAACTTTCACACACAACCATTTTAGTCACGCCGTTGTTCTTAAGAAGTTACACTGCAACTTTTAAAACACCCTTAATCCATAGATCTCCAACCTTTATAGTGTTAATTGTATTCTTATGTTTGATTAGTTTCAAGTGCTTTCATGAACTGATCAGCTATTGTTACTCCATATGAGAAGATGAGAACGAGAATGAATGAACTATGAAACAGTTGGGTACAAGTACTAACCCTAATTGGGTTGTACCCCATATGGGCTACCCCACTACAGCCTACACAAAAGCATAAGCTATAATGTTCTGACACCATAATGTATGTACAATGTTTTCCGGTTACCATCGCGCCCCATCCTACTTCCCCCTTCCATCCCGCCCATGTCAAAAGTAAAACAAACAACATATATAGTGATATTCAAATAGACATTGCACATCTTCCCAAGTGAAATAGTCTCATGAATAAATCAAATGTGCATTCAGGAACGCATCAAAATTGAAGTGAAGCTCCCATAAGAAAGTATAAAAACTGGGTTATTGATTAGAAAAAAATTGACTGAAATTTATCCACATTAAGATTGATCTTCACATCTGATGTTATCCATTGGAAGTATTCATAGATAGGGGGAATTCAAGATAGTTCTATTTTTTGAAACTTGGCATATATTAAGATGAGATATATTATTTCATATATATTAATAAATTATATTGAAAGCTTTTTATGGAAAAGATAAATGAACAATATGTATTATAAATGTTTTTGACTATATATAGATGATTCATTATATTTCAAAACTTAAAGTTATATATACTAATTTCCAAAAACATTTTCAAAAATTCAATTATATAATAAAGCGATTCAAACCTAGATATATGGAATTATATTATACCAGTTTTGGTAAAGCTAAATTTCTTATGTCATGACATTGTATAAATGAGTTACTTTACAAGAAGCTTGCATTTTGTTTCTTTGTATTAACATGTAGCTATACAATTGAAATTAATGTATTATCAAATTCCATGTTGCGAATCCATTTTGTGGATTGGTTAAACGTAGTTCATGGGGGAAAAAAGAGGCGTAAGAGGAAAAGTGGAACAATAGCACTCACGGTGAAATAATGCACATCTATTCTTTTCTACTAAAAAAAAATGACCTAAATTGTTACGCGTAGCACGTACCGCATCTTGGGGGAAGTCATTGGACCTTTTTGTTTAACCTTACATATATTAAAAATGTCAAGTTATTTTTCGTAATTTTTTTCTATCTTGGAAACCATATAACACAGCGTCTTTGTCGCACTGTTGTATGTGGTCATCAAATTCGAACGTGATTCAAGGCCTGATTGCGGGTGAGAGGACTAAAACATATATGGTTCGCATACCTTTCCAGATTTATTAACCATAAACACCTTGTTTGGTGGTAGATACATTTGTGACAATATAATGTCTTGTAAGTGATATGTTGTATCAACCAGTGTAATGCATGGGTGTGGGACGCATCAGAGCATGCCATGTTGTGGCAGGCTCGGGACTCATCAAGCACAAAAATATTCCAAATTTTTCACTCCAAAAATACTCCAAAGTTTTAAGAAGGTTCCGACTAAAGAAGACAGCGAGAAAATTGAGAAATTTTGCAACAGCTTATTATCAAGGGGTAATCGGCTCAATTTTTTGTTGCGTAATACGCATGGTGTGCTGTGGCGAGTTGACAAACGAGGAGGCATGGGGAAGAGCATTGGAGAATGTTTTAATAAAGAAATATAGAACAAACTTAATTGAGATGGATACTAATTGTAGTGTTACGATCGGTGATTCCCATATGACCAAAGGGGGTTAAATGCGACAGGTCATATTATTTCCCTTTACAGAACGGCAGACTTTGATTTTTGTCGCTGACATGTGTAGGTGAGTGGCATGGCACAGCTCCCCAGTGTAGGTGAGTGGCACAGCTCCCCAGTGTAGGTGAGTGCAGCTCGTGGAGTGGCAGGCTGGGAAGGGAGGTTTCGTCCTCATTACGAGCCAACCAGTTGCGAACGGAAGATGCCACTTTACGTCAGTGGTCAGTCCACGCTCGTGTCGGCTGCCAGTGTGTGCGAAAGCAGCGACAAGTCTGCTAGCAGGCGTGTTCAGCTGAAAAATTAGTTAACAGTTGCAACATTCGCTTCGATGATGGGTACTGTACAGAACGCAGCTCCGCACGCTTCATTCGTTAGTCAGGATCTGCCCACCGCACTGTTTAGGTTGCGGTCAAAGTTTCACGATGTTTGCCCCATCAAAGCCTGAAAGCTGGCCGAATTCAAATAAACCATCGTCCAATCGAATGGCCCAGCAAGTTGCAATATGACGGGTGACAGCTGTGCATCTCGACAAGCGAACAATTTCCCCAAGAAAGCCGACAAACGCCGCAACACCGCAGAGAGCTGAGCCCGTTCCAGAGCTGTCTTCCGTAACCGCTTTTGACAGCCTCAAACCCAGAAAACCCAGATTTCGTTTTCAAGCCCCAAGTGTCAGAGGAATTCACGTGGCTTTGTCGCGGATATTTGTTTTAATACACCAGGGGAGTGTGATACATAAAGCGGAGTGTGTAATAAGGTGAACTAGCGGAGTGCCTACAGATTTCTACCGAGGCCAGATGAAAAAGAATCCAGATGTTCCACACCCTAACCCATTATAACATAGAACACATACGTTGGTGGACACGCTTATGCTCGTTCTTTGGGGCCAATTCGTTTCGTTGTGGGCTCAATTGTCTCGTTTCGGCTCCAGCAACAAACAGCCAGACTAGTGTAACGTACGGTAAACGTTGAATTGCCAGACAACGCATAAACACAACATATGAATCTTGCAAGATCACTATGTAGGCGGCGGCTGCTGCTGCTGCTGCGGCACAACATTTAATCCCCCAACTAGATTCTGAATTGCACCCAACACACCCGAGATGTTGCTTGGATCAAGCGGGATATTGTCAAGCGAGATATTGTACGCTGCTTGGCCGGACGCTTGATCTGGGGAGAAAGAATGGGAGCCTGGCGCACCACCCCAACCAGCCCCGGCAGGCATACCCGGACCAGGCATACCCGGACCAGGCATACCCGAACCAGGCATACCCGAACCAGGCATACCCATTCCAGGTATACCCATACCAGGCACTCCCATCCCAGGCATTCCCATTCCATGCATGGGGAAACCCGCAAATTGCATCCCACCGGGGAAGGCAAAGGGAGGAGGGGGTGCGTGGTGGTGGTGTGGTGGGTGGGGGCGGTGTTGATGCTGGTGCTGCTCGTGTTGGTGATGATGGTGGAGATCCTGTGGGGTGAGGGGTGGGGTGGCCGGGGAAGAGAGGGGGAAGGGGAGGGAATGGGAGCGGATTGGATAAACAGGGAAATTGCGGTGCGCTGCTCGTGCTGGTGATGGTGGTGCAGATCCTGTGGGGTGAGGGGGGAATGCAAAGAGGAGGGGGGGAAGTGGGGAGGCGAATTGCAGAGGAAGGGAAGTGGGGATTTTGAGTGAAGAAAACTTTACACGGTGGTAGAGAGCAATGGGTTGATGAATGAGAGCAATGGGTTGATGAATGAGAGCGTAAACTGCAAGGGGCGAATCTTGGCCTGGATTGTTCAACACATTGAAATCATGGATAGATTGGAAATTGGAGGGATTTGATTGCTTCAATGAAAAGAATCATCAACGAAAAGAATCAGAAAGATTCCACTCTGGTTGTGGAATAGAACACCAACAAGAAAGTGATCACACAAAAGGGACGCAAAGAAAAGGAAGTTGGAGGGAAGAAAATCGTCAAGCATCAAGATTGGGTTGAGCAAACAGAGGGAAGCAAAGTTGATCAATCTTGTCCTGCCCAGGCATACATGATCCAGGATGATCAAGATTGGGGTGAGCAGACATACATGATGGGAGCAGCACGCGCCACACCTCTGCTCGTCAAGCTTCCTCTTGGCTGCCTGCAGTGGCAGCGAGATTATGGAAAGGGCAGTGGCAGCAAGAACCATGAAGGTGGGGGGAAGGAGGTGGCGAATCATAAGGGAGCAAGAGAGTGATTCAGAAAGTCGGGGGAGGCAAGATAGCGACTCCAACGGTTGACAATCGCAGGCAGGCAGTTTGTTCTGTAAGTGGCCTTTGAGTCGACTCAAAACACAATCGCAGGCAGGCTGTTTGTTCTGTAAGCGGCTTAATTGTGCAATGCAGTTGAGAATTGAAGGTTAACCCGGACGGCTCACTTCGGGGTTCTCCTCGTGCGCTGCATTGGAGGGATCGCGGTACAGAGTTCTGAGGAGCCTAAAAAATTGTCAGCACAAGGAAAATTCCTAGAGAATAAACTCCAAAACTGGATTGGTGAGCTCACTCTGCGGTTCTCCTTGTGCGCTGAATTGGAGGAGTCGCACTGCAGAGTTCTGAGGGGCCTCACAAATTGTCGGCACAAGAAGAATCTCAGAAGCTAGATTTCTCGCCGTTAAGTTCTCCCTGGGCTTTGCATTGCAGGAATCGTGCTGAAGATTTATCTGAGGAGCCTTGCAATATGTCAGCACAAGGAGAATGTTAAAAGTGGAATTTCTGAGCTCACCTTGAGGTTCTCCTTGTGAGCTGCATTGGAAGGATCTAGCTCCAGTGCTGCAATGTGGACAGGGGGGGGGGAGAGGAGAAGTAGAATGTGGGTGCACAAGCAAATCTGGATACCTGAATCACAGAGGAGCAGAAATAAATAACTAAATGGAACAAAATGGTCTCCAGCGCATACACCTTTCCTGAAGCCCCACTCCTGCAATCTCCCACTCCCACAAGCACTCGCACCTTTCTTAAAGCCCTCTTCAATCGCCTCGTGGTGCCGACCCAGCGCCATGCACGCATGCCCCAGCCGGCTGTACGCCTTGCTGTACCTCGGGTCTACTGCTACCGCCCTCCTGCTGTCCGCCGCAGCTTCCATGTAGTTTCCCAGCTGGTGCTGCGCTGCTGCCCTGCAATCAGCAAACAGCAAAACAGCGAACGAGAAATCTTTGAAACATCCTCTGAACTTTTCATTTCAAGCTAACTCGAAAGAGATAAGAGAGAAGGGAGGGCACATGCTGGCGTTGTAAATGGCATTCATACAACTATGGAAAGCAATTTCGTTGGAGTGGCATGAGAGTGCCTTTTGGGTCCAATCAAACGCGAGAGGAAAGGAAGGGAGAGTACCTGTTGGCATAGTAAATGGCGTTGGTGGTGCCTACACAGAGGGGGATTGCTTTGGAGTAGAGAGATAAGACTTATTGATTTGATTTACAAGACAAGGGAAGGGAACGGAAGGAAAGGGAAGGGAAGGGAAGGGAAGGGAAGGGAAGGGAAGGGAAGGGAAGGGAGAGTACCTGTTGGCATAGTAAATGGCGTTGGTGCCACCACAGAGGGCGATTGCTTTGGAGTAGAGAGACAATGCCTCTTCGTAGTTATGGGCTGCCATGGCCGCATTGCCTGCAGGGAGGTGTGGTCACGAGGGGTGATATGAGGTGGGTGGGTGGGTGGGTGGGAGAAGGGAGAGCTACCACAGAGAGCGATTGCCTTGGAGTAGAGAGATAATGCCTCGTCATAGTTATGGGCTGCCATGGCCGCATTGCCTGCAGGGGGAATGAATGAGAATGGGCGTGGGCAAGATGGGGTGGGTGGGTGCGTGGTTGCGGGAAGGGGGAGAGCCTGACAAGAGATAACGCCTCCTCGTTGAATTCACTTTTGAGAATTCTCAAAAGGGGGAGAGCTTGACAAGAGATAACGCCTCCTCATTGAATTCACTTTTGAGAATTCTCAAAAGGGGGAGAGCTTGACAAGAGATAACGCCTCCTCATACTGATGAGCTGCCATGGCTGCATGCATTGACTGGAAGGAGAAGGGCCATGGGGCGATATGGGGTGGTTGGGTGGGTGAGAGAAGGGGAGGGTGGGTGAAATTTACTGATGAGCTTGACTTGACAACCACTTGGCCATAAACACCTACCCCAGCCACCCACTCCCAGCCACATTAGACATACACACACACCACCCACCCATGCACTGCAGGGTGTTTTTGGAAATTCTCGAAAACACCCTGCACAAACACCAACCCCAGCCACCCACCCCCAGCCACACTACTAGACATGCACACACACCACCCACCCATGCACTCCAACCCACTCACCCATCCATCTACATCACCCACTCACCCACCCACACCACACCACCACACCTGACATCACACCGCCCCACACCACACCACACACCACCCCACACCACACCACCACACCACACACCCTGCGCCTTCAGTTCCTCTGCTTTCTTCTTGTCCTCTTCTGTGACCACTGCTGCCGCCGCACCCCCACCCCCAACAGTCTCAGCAGAAGCACTGGCAGTAACACCACTAGCAGCACCACCACCAGCACCACTAGCAGCAGCACCACCAGCACCACTAGCAGCACCACCAGCAGCACCACTTGCAGTTGCAGCTGAAGCATCTCCCATTTCCGTCTCCTTCTCCTTCCCCTTGTCGCCCCTTTGCTCCTTCCTGCCCTCGCTGCTCTTGCTGCCGCCCTCCTCCTCCTTCTCGTTCCCCTCCTTCTCCCCTCCCTCCTTCTCCCCTCCCTCCTTCTCCCCTCCCTCCTTCCCTTGTTCACTGCCCCCGTCCCCTTGCTCCTTGTCCCCCCCCTCTCTCCCCCCTCCCTGCTGAGCCACGCACTGGTGGAAGATACCTCGTGCCTGCTGCTGCCTCGTCACATACTCCTCACTCCCCACCACCGTCCCTGCATAGTACCCCGCACTCTCCAGCCCCTGCAGAAACTCCTGAAGCTTCTTCTCCAGATCCAGAGCACCCTGGGCCTCCACCTGACCCTCCTCCCCTTGCCGGTTCGGCCCACTCCCACCTGCCCCAGCTTCCCCACGAGCCGTTTCCCATGCTCTTTCTTTCGCTTGTTCCCCCGTTTGCTCAGTAGCCCCCTCAACTGCGTCTTTCATCTCTACTTCCTTCCCCCCCTCTCTGCCTCCGCTGTCTCCGTTGCCTATCCTAGCGTTTTCTGTTCCTGCAGCAACCGAACCTCCCCCAACCCTGTCTCCCAAGTCTGCCTCTCGAGGCTCGGCGTCACGCTTGTTTTCTTCATCCATAGGTTCGGGCAGCGAGGCAGCAGCCTGAGAGTTTTCCACTAGCTGCCCGCCTGGCCGGGCAGCACCGGCAGAAGAACCATGACCAGTAGCGGAACCCGGCGTGCTGTCCTGAATGAGCTGCAACAGTGTTCCGGGCAGAACTGAATATTTTTCCAGGTCGTCAGGGTTTTGCGGGCTGACCCCAAAAGCTTCGGAAAGGCAGTCTGCGGCAACCTCTAGGGCGTCCGAGTCAACTGAGGGAGGGAGTGGGGCTGATGGGGCAAGTTGGGAGAGAAAAAACGGGAGGAAACGGAAAGAGGGGACATCAGATGAGTGGTGGAACGATTGTGGGACATCTATCGTCACAATTGTTAGTCTGTGGTAACCGCTAGGGCGTCCGAGTCAACTGAGGAGGGGAGTGGGGCTGATGGGGGAAGTCAGGAGAGAAAAAACGGGAGGAAACGGAAAAAGGGGAGATGAGATGAGTGGTGGGATTTTTATGGAACATCTATGATCACAATTGTCAGTCCGCGGCAACCTCTAGGGCATCCGAGCCGACTGAGGAAGGGAGAGGGGCTGATGGGGCAAGGTGGGGGAGAAAATAAAAGGAAGAAACGGAAAGAGAAAACGGAGAAGAATCAGAGAGACGGGAGATTATTTGGTGGTGGCAGTGGAAAGGCAAAATGAAAAAAAGCAGTCTGGGACAACCTCTAGGGTGTCTGAGTGAAGTGAGGAATAGAGCGGGGCTGATGGGGCAAAGGGTGAAGCGAGGAAACGGGAAGAGGAAACGGAGGGAATAATCCGAGAGAAGCCTGAGCGCTTCAAGCTGTTACTACGAGTACCCGTGCGGAGGAACTGACCGTTGAGCCGCTTTACGCAGTCTCTAGTAATCACCTGTGCGGAGGAAATCGAGGAATGCGAGCACGGTTCGCCTTTGAGTTGACTTTTGAGTCGAGTTGACTTTTGAGTCGACTCAAAAGTCAACTCACTTGTAGTACCTGTGCGGAGGAAATCGAGGAATGCGAGCACGGTTCGCCTTTGAGCGAAGAATTCATCCTCCTTAGAAGCCGCATCGCTCGGAGACGCCATACCCAGCTGCTGCGGTCACGAAACGCTCACGTTTTCTAAGATGCCGCTCAGCTAAATCCTACTGTTCACAATTTTTCCTCGGAGTGTCCGACTAGGAGTAATCTCACGACGCCATTCGCGACAATGGGATCGAATTCGGGCACTTCGGCAAGAGGAAGGACGGGATGGAAAGACGGGAGGTATGGCGAGAGTGATCAAGCACTCGCTGACTCGAATAAGGTAGCCTGCTGCTGCTGGCGGGACGTTGATCGTTGCTCGGGTAGTCCCAAATACTGCTACTCGTCGCGCGCTTGGACTCCTCAGAATGAATCACTAGTGCTAACGCCGCGCACTCGTGTCAGTCTGAATCTGAACTAAAAGCGACGAAGTGAAGTGGCTTGCTCGGTTCTGAAAGAAAGGCGTTGTGGAAAAATCAGGAGATGAGGCGAGTGAGTAAGAGCGGATTTTTGGATGGTTCTGGAATCTGAGGTGTTAGCACCACACAGCGCATCACGGAAAAGCTGCGAAATCTTGCTACACCGTACCTTTACCATCAATCGGCAAAAAGACACACCCCCTCAATTAGCAATAAAGAGACTTGGACTTATGTTTTGTAGAAAGTACTTTTCAGCTTCTTAGCCAGACGCGCCAGAGTACGCTTATCGCGGATGCAATATTGTCACCACCAACCAATTTTCAGAGGCAATCCCGACGTAGTCACCAGCAGTCCCAAGGCCGGTTTCACCTCTGATCACAGCGGTTTGGTACCATGGCTTGCAGTTTGATCATGCAACTATGTCGGTAGCCGTCCCAGAACCAGCTAGACCTAATTCGTTATGCGATATCGTGTCGTGAAGTAGGTTAGCTGTCTGACGCTGATTATTTTAAGAAGATTTTTTCCTCACTCGTTGAACCGGTATCAATGCGTCGGGATCGTCGTCTGCTTCGTCATCATTGAATGCGCGTCGCGGGTTTAGAATGACAGGAGCTGTACTGCAGCAAAAAATTACGCTAGCATTTTCTTAGGCATTCGTTGCGATGAGATTAACTGGAAGACTCTCACATTTAGCTAGAACCTGGAGCGATAGGACCAATAGATTCGGAATGGGAAGTCACGGAAGCCGTCACGATGCTTCGAGTTGCGCTGCGAAACGTAGTTTTGCAGAAAAAAAAATATCCAGCGTTGTTTCCCGGAGCTCAAATCCTTGGGAAAATACTTCTTTCCTCACATCGCCTTTGGTGACTGCTGTCCTTCTCGCTCTGCTCGTTTCCAGCGCCGTCGCTGGCTCGTCCAGACCATCCGCGTTAGAAGCGGACTCTTTAGAAGCATATCTCACAGAAACGAGCGACCATTTTCCGATGACGTCACACGTTCTCTCGCTGGCGGATTACCCTTCTTGGGAGGGTTCCGTGCGGCGGAGATTGGTGGATGACGTGGCATCAACGGCCAACGGCATGTTAAGGTACACTGCTTTGAACAACACCTACCTCTATTCGAGGCGCCTAAGAACACGTTACACAAATAAGGCTCTTTAGAAAAGGCGCCCTTAAACCTCGGTTACGGGGTTGCGAAGATTGCTCTCCCACGTCTCCTTCTCTCTTCCCCTTCATTCCCGCCTTCCTCCCTCACTCCCATCTCTCCACCGTTCTCTTCACCACCCCCCCCGCTCGCCTCCCCCTTTTTCTCCGCTCTTCCCCCACCCTACCCTCCTCCCACCACCACTCCTCCTTCCCTGCAGTTCCGAAGCGGTGAGTCAGCTTGTGGGGCGGCTGAGGGCGCTGCGGGTGCGACTGGGGGAGGTGGTAACGCGGGCGAACACGACCATGCAGCTGCTGCCGGGGATGGAGGAGGAGAACGGCGCGGAGGGCAGCGGGGAGGGGCTTGAGAGCGTGAAAGTAGTTGATGTCGTGGATGATGATCAGACGCCGCTGAAGCTGGATTGGTGAGTGAAACGAGACGCACTGTAACGCGGACAGACAGGCATGGCTGTGAGGAGGGCAGCGGGGAGGGGCTTGAGAGCGTGAATGTGGTTGACGTGGTGGATGACGATCAAACGCCGCTGAAGCTGGACTGGTGAGTGAATGTGATGTGACCCATTATGGCTTGAAACGAATCAGCATGCAGTGGGGACAGGCAAGGTTGGGAGTAATCGAGGGGTGGGCTTGAGAGCGTGAAGGTGGTTGATGTGGTGGATGACGATCAGACGTCAAGCTGGATTGGTGAGACGTGTGGCCCAATGCATTGGCGTGAGTGTGTGTGTGTGAGGAGGGCAGCGGGGAGGGGCTGGAGTGGAGAGCGTGAAGGTGGTTGACGTGGTGGATGATGATCAAACGCCGCTGAAGCTCGACTGGTGAGTGAATGCGGAGTGAGAAGTCATGCATTTTATATTGCTTGAAACGAATCAGCCCTGCCTCGGAGGATCCCACTCCTTCGTCCTTCCTCCACACTTCCCCTTCCACTCGCCCCAACCGCCAGGGGTCGCGCTGTGAGCAAGGAGCAGGGGGAAAAGGACGAGAAGGACAAGCAGACGCAGGGGCGATGCCCTTCAAAATATGAAATGGTCCCAGAATCTTGATTCACTTTCGCTTCAACCCTCTCCCTTCCTCCGCCCTCTCTCCCTTGTCCTCCCTCCACGGTCCACGATTCCCCTTTCCTTCACTTCACCCCACCCGTCCCGTCAGGGGTCGCGCTGTGAGCAAGGAGCAGAAGGAGAAGGAGGAGAAGGACAAGCAGACGCAGGGGCGATGCCCCTCAGACGCTCAGGCGGCAGGTGGTGCAGGCGGTGCTGCTGACGTGGCAGCGGCTCATAGGCTGGCGGCACATGCGGACTGGAGGGGCGGATTCGCGAATGGGAGTGTGGTGTGGGCACCGGAGAAGGATAGATACATTCTCATGGATTGCCATAGGGGGAAGGTACTTGTGTGGGGAACGGGCAGGGCGGGGCGAGGAGTGTGGGTGGGCAGGTAGAGTGAGAGGGGAGACTTTTGAGGCGCCTCAAAAGGCAGGTAGGGTGAGAGGGGAGACTTTTGAGGCGCCTCAAAAGGCATGTAGAGTGAGAGGGGAGACTTTTGAGGCGCCTCAAAAGGCAGGTAGGGTGAGAGGTGAGAAAAGAGAGAAGTGCTGAGAGGGGAACTAACCTCTCAGCACCTCTCAAGGTTAGTTCGCGAATGGGAGTGTGGAATGGGGGCTGGGGAAGGGTAAAGACGTTCTCATGGTGGCACAGGGGAAAGGACGGTATGTGGGTGGGTGCTATCCCCCCTTCCTCCTCTCCTCCCCCCTTTTTCCACCTTCCATTTCTTCCGCCGCTTCCCCCCTTCCCCACCTTCCATTTCCTCCCCTCTCTCCCTTTCAGTCCAGCATTCCAGCTTCCTCTGCTCCCATCCCATTTCCCCCCCTGCCGCGACTGACTCCCGCTTCCCCCCTCTCGCACATCAGTCCAGCAAGCGCATCCAAATGTTGCTGATGCTCCCTTTCCCCCCCTCCCTCACTTCCCCCCTCCCCCCCCTCCCTCACTTACCCCCTCCCCAACTCCCCTCTTCCCCCACTAAACCCCCCACCAACCACCCACTCCTCTCCCCCTGCAGTCCAGCACGCGCATCCGCTGCTTCCGCAACCACATGCTGCTGGCAGGGCGCTCTAATCGCACACTGCTGGTGCCGATGAAGGCAGTCTCCCATTCCCCCCTTACCCTCTCCCTCCCTCTCCCCCTACCCCCCATACCATATGCAGTCCAGCACACGCATCCGCTGCTTCCGCAACTACATGCTGCTGGCAGGGCTGTCTAACCGCACGCTGCTGATGCTCCCTTCACCCCCTTCTCCCGCTCCCCCCCACATCTCGCCTTGCTTTCCCTCCCCCTCTCCCCCTGCAGTCCAGCACGCGCATCCGCTGCTTCCGCAACTACATGCTGCTGGCAGGCCTCTCTAACCGCACGCTGCTGGTACCAATGAACACCACGGAGGTGGCGTCTGGATACGACCGCCGGATTGTCTTTGACTTCGACCACGCGTGGAGGTGAGTGAGTGAGTGAGTGAGTGAGTGAGCGAGAGAGTGAGTCGGTGACTGACATAGTGCCCTCAAAAAGGGGGCTTTCAAATCGCACGCTGCTGGTGCCAATGAACACCACGGAGGTGGCGTCTGGGCACGACTGGTCCGGTGCATCGTGTTTGACTTTGACCATGCCTGGAGGTACGTGGAGGATCATGGATCATGGATCATGTATCATGTATCATGTATCATGTATCATGTATCATGGATCATGTATCATGGATCATGTATCATGTACCATGTATCATGGATCATGTATCATGTATCATGTATCATGTATCATGGATCATGTATCATGGATCATGTATCATGTATCATGTATCATGGATCATGTATCATGTATCATGGATCATGTATCATGTATCATGTATATCATGTATCATGTATCATGGATCATGTATCATGTATCATGTATCATGTATCATGGATCATGGATCATGGATCATGGATCATGTATCATGGATCATGTATCATGTATCATGTATCATGTATCATGGATCATGTATCATGTATCATGGATCATGTATCATGTATCATGTATCATGGATCATGTATCATGTATCATGTATCATGTATCATGTATCATGGATCATGTATCATGGATCATGTATCATGTATCATGTATCATGTATCATGGATCATGTATCATGTATCATGTATCATGTATCATGGATCATGGATCATGGATCATGGATCATGTATCATGGATCATGTATCATGTATCATGTATCATGTATCATGGATCATGTATCATGTATCATGGATCATGTATCATGTATCATGTATCATGTATCATGTATCATGTATCATGGATCATGTATCATGGATCATGTATCATGTATCATGTATCATGGATCATGTTTCATGGATCATGTATCATGTATCATGTATCATGGATCATGTATCATGTATCATGGATCATGGATCATGTATCATGGATCATGTATCATGTATCATGTATCATGTATCATGGATCATGTATCATGTATCATGTATCATGTATCATGTATCATGGATCATGTATCATGTATCATGTATCATGGATCATGTATCATGTATCATGTATCATGTATCATGTATCATGTATCATGGATCATGTATCATGGATCATGTATCATGTATCATGTATCATGTATCATGGATCATGTATCATGGATCATGTATCATGTATCATGTATCATGGATCATGTATCATGTATCATGGATCATGGATCATGGATCATGTATCATGTATCATGGATCATGTATCATGTATCATGTATCATGTATCATGGATCATGGATCATGTATCATGGATCATGGATCATGTATCATGTATCATGGATCATGTATCATGTATCATATATCATATATCATGTATCATGGATCATGTATCATGTATCATGTATCATGGATCATGTATCATGGATCATGTATCATGAATCATGGATCATGTATCATGTATCATGGATCATGTATCATGTATCATGTATCATGGATCATGTATCATGTATCATGTATCATGGATCATGGATCATGGATCATGTATCATGGATCATGTATCATGTATCATGGATCATGTATCATGGATCATGGATCATGTATCATGGATCATGTATCATGTATCATGTATCATGGATCATGTATCATGGATCATGTATCATGTATCATGTATCATGGATCATGTATCATGGATCATGTATCATGTATCATGTATCATGGATCATGTATCATGTATCATGGATCATGGATCATGGATCATGTATCATGTATCATGGATCATGTATCATGTATCATGTATCATGTATCATGTATCATGGATCATGGATCATGTATCATGTATCATGTATCATGGATCATGTATCATGGATCATGTATCATGGATCATGTATCATGTATCATGTATCATGGATCATGTATCATGTATCATGGATCATGTATCATGTATCATGTATCATGGATCATGTATCATGATTCATGGATCATGGATCATGGATCATGTATCATGTATCATGGATCATGTATCATGTATCATGTATCATGTATCATGTATCATGTATCATGGATCATGTATCATGTATCATGTATCATGTATCATGTATCATGGATCATGTATCATGGATCATGTATCATGTATCATGTATCATGGATCATGTATCATGGATCATGTATCATGTATCATGTATCATGGATCATGTATCATGGATCATGGATCATGGATCATGTATCATGTATCATGGATCATGGATCATGTATCATGTATCATGGATCATGTATCATGTATCATGTATCATGGATCATGGATCATGTATCATGGATCATGTATCATGTATCATGTATCATGGATCATGGATCATGTATCATGTATCATGGATCATGTATCATGGATCATGTATCATGTATCATGTATCATGTATCATGGATCATGTATCATGTATCATGTATCATGTATCATGGATCATGTATCATGGATCATGTATCATGGATCATGTATCATGTATCATGGATCATGTATCATGGATCATGTATCATGTATCATGGATCATGTATCATGTATCATGGATCATGGATCATGGATCATGTATCATGTATCATGGATCATGGATCATGTATCATGTATCATGGATCATGTATCATGTATCATGTATCATGGATCATGGATCATGTATCATGGATCATGTATCATGTATCATGTATCATGTATCATGGATCATGTATCATGTATCATGTATCATGTATCATGTATCATGTATCATGGATCATGCGTCATGGGGCATGGGCATGGTTATGGGTCATAGGTCATTGGGTCATTGGGTGATTGGTTTGGGCCAGCGTAAGCACACAGATACAAGAAGCAGACTTAGTGCATCTCAAAACCCTCTGAATTCAAGCAGAAATTTTCCTACCTCTCCCCTGAACCCCGTCCCTCCTATTCGGCCTGCCCAGGCGCTACATCCCGCGCTCTGTTCTTTCCACACAAAATTTTCTCGACTTGAGCAAGGGGGGACGGGAAGGGATTGTTGCACAAGGCAAGGCACAGCACTCCGTTCATTCAAAACCGTGCACACACAACAATCCCACCCTCCACTCCACTCCTTCCTCCCTCCCCTCTCCCCCCAATTCACCCCACCCAGGTGCTATGCTCCTCTCTCTGTGCTCTCTACACAAGACTTTCTGTTCTGAGTCGACTCAAAAACACCCTTCCCTCTTGCCCCCATTTGCCCCACCCAGGTGCTACGGACCCCTCTCTGTGCTTTCCTCACAAGACTTTCTCAACTTGAACAAGGGGGGAGCCGGGTGGGTGGCTGCACATGGGACGTCCTCAGTTCGCCCTATGCAGGTCAAAGACTGGCAAACAACAAGGTCCCACCTTCTCTCTTTTTTCTGCTACCCCATCTCTCCCCTACTCGTCCCACCCAGGTGCTACGGTCCCCATTCTGTGCTATCCACCCAAGACTTTCTAGACTTGAACAAAGGGGGGGCAGAGGAGGGGGGAGGAGGAGTGAAAGACGGGAAAGTAGTGATCGATCAAGTGCTATGCCTACGCGGCTCCTGTTATAACCAGAAAGGCCATGGGGATCCCGGCACTTTAGTAAATCTGCCCGACGCTGCCCTAGCCGAAAATATCACTTGGAGCACTGTTCCTTCCACGGTCATTAAGGAGCAGAAATTTCGCCTGCCCGAAGCTGGCGAGATCGCGCGGGAAATCCTCCCGTCTGCCCGGGTTGTGGTTCTCGGGGAGCTGGAACTTTTCTCGTTTGACCGGTCGCTCGAGGCCGAGGGCGACGTTCCTTTTATTCGCCGCCCGGGCTGCCCGAACTCACTCGCCATTCAACCGCATCCCGCCGTCCTACTCTCCGCCGAGCGGCTAATACAGTCCAAAATGTGGAGTCTTATTGCACTAAACGCCACTTTTAGCCACACGCCCGCGAATTTCACAATCAATAACACGGGAGCGGACGGCGGGAGTCGGGGCATGGGGTGGCAGAAGGATAGCGAAGTGACTGAAATTCAGGATAAGAGATTTGTGGCGGTGCATTGGAGGAGGGGGGAGATGGGGATGGGGTGTAAGGAACCGGGGGTGGTGTGTCACGTGCGGGCAGCGCAGGCAGCTGGGTGTATTGCGAGGGCGATGGAGAAAGCAGGGGGGATCAAGACGGTGTTTCTGGTCTCAGATGCCAGTGCCAAGGAGGTACGTGTGTGACAAGGGGGTGTGCATGTGGCAAGGGGGTGTGCATGTGGCAAGGGGGTGTGCATGTGGCAAGGGGGTGTGCGTGTGGCAAGGGGGTGTGCGTGTGGCAAGGGGGTGTGCGTGTGGCAAGGGGGTGTGCGTGTGGCAAGGGGGTGTGCGTGTGGCAAGGGGGTGTGCGTGTGGCAAGGGGGTGTGCGTGTGGCAAGGGGGTGTGCGTGTGGCAAGGAGGTATCTGGTCGTAACGAGATGTGGGGGGATCAAGACAGTGTTCCTGGTCTCATATGCCAGTCCCAAGGAACACTGTCTTGGAGGTACGTGATTCCAATTTGGCTAGTCCCGATGCTTGGTTTCCCAGGGTTTCCCTCGATGGTGGGTGTATGTATAGTGCTGCTCTGAGGGTAAGGCAGGCTGCTGGGTGTATTGCGAGGGCAATGGAGAGAGCAGGCGGGATCAAGACAGTGTTTCTGGTGTCTGATGCCAGTCCCAAAGAGGTATGTGGGTATGTGGTCCCAAGGAGTTACATGTGTGTGCGGTCCCAAGGGTGTGTGTGTGTGGTTCCAAAGAGGTATGGGATACCGTTGGCTTGTAAGAAGTCTGTGGTTGCAACGAGGTATGTGTTTCTGGTGTGTGATGGCAGTCCCAAGGAGGTACATGTGTGGCTAGGAGGTATGGGATACCGTTGGCTTTTGAGTCGACTCATAAGTCACCTTGGGATACCGTTGGCTTGTAAGAGGTATGTGGTTCCCAAGGGAATCTGCATGTGATGAGTCGGTTTTTGAGTCGACTCAAAAACCGACTCATCACACTAGGAGGTCTGGGATACCGTTGGCTTGTAAGAGGTATGTGGTTCTAAAGGGAAGTTGTTTCCATGAGTTAACTGAGCTTTGCCTCATCACCTCATACAATATGCTCGCTTTCACATTCAGGATCTTCGCCTTGTCATGCTGCCTCCTTTTGAGGCTCCTCAAAACTTAACTGAGCCTTTCCTCACAAACTCATACGGTATGCTCGCTTCCACATTGAGGATCTTCGCCTCATCATGCTTCCTCCTCCTCGTGATCCTTCCCGCCTTCTTTTCCCCCTTTTCTGTCCCCCTCTCCTTCCACCCCTGCTTTCCTCTCCCCTTCTCCATTTGGTTCCCCTTTCTTCCCAACCAAGCTAACTGAGATTCGCAATCCTTAATTCCAACACTCTCAGGACCCTTGCCTCATCATGCTGCCTCCTTGACCCGTTCTTGTTTCCCCTTCGTTTCTCCACTTGGTGACCCCTTTTCCCTCCCCCCAACCAGCTGACTGAGATTCGCAACGCTCTCTTCCAACACATTCAGGACCTTCACCTTGTCATGCTGCCTCCTTGACCCGTTCTCCTTCCCACTTTCGTGTCTCCGCTTCCTTCCCCTTCTCACTTCCCCCAACCAGCTTACTGTGATTCACAGTGCTCTATTCCAACACCATCAGGACCTTCACCTTGCCATGCTGCCTGCTAACCCTGTTCCTCTCCCCCCCCACCCTCCCCCCACCTGCCCCTTTCCCATCCCTTTCCTTTTCCCTTCCCCATTTCCCAATCCCCTTCCCATTTCTCGTCTCCAACCAGCTGACTGAGATTCGCAACGCTCTCTTCCAACACATTCAGGACCTTCGCCTCGTCATGCTGCCCCCGAACCTTCGCGGGCAGAAATGGGCTGCCCGGCTGAAAAGTTACGACTTTCAGCACCAAGGGCTGATTGTTTCCACTGTAGACAAATGCGTTGCTGCCCTGGCCGATATTTTTCTCGGGACCGCTGGATCGAGTTTCACTCTCGACATCCAACGGCTGAGATCGGGCCTCAGGACGGCCAGCTGTGAAGATTCGTTCATTTGTGAGGGTGCTGGTGGGCATGCTTCGTCTCATACTGCGCTCAGGTGATCCTGGTGGGTGATGCTACAGTATTTCAAGTTGTGCTACAGGTGATTTGAGTGCTGTACAGATTCTGGTGATGTGACATCCCATGATTCTACATATTTGTGGTGTTTCTGAGTGCCATAAGTTCTGGCATCATTCATACTCGGGTGCACATGATTCATATCACTTACATGTTGATATCATCCCGCACATGCCTATGCTTGCCTCATAAACAGACGGCACCTGTAACAACGCACAAACAAAACAAACAATTACCCTTCTACGCGTACAAGCATCCATAATTGCTCTGAAAAACCCCCACCAGTTTCTACACTGTAGTGCTCAAAGCAACAGACCACGAGGGTGTGTTCCCACAACCTCAGCACAGCACCTCTGCTCAAATCCAGGCCCATGGTACTGTAGAGTCTCACTGTGAACTCCCCATCCTCCTCCCCCACGCCCCCACCCCCTGCTGCGCCCTTCCCACCCCTTCCTCCCCATCCCCCTCCCCCTCCTCTCACCTCCCCGCCTCCTTTCCTCCAGAATTTTGTTGCACAGCACTCTCTAAACCCATTGGTCCCATAACTCTCCTACCTCCCACTTGCTCCTCTTGCTTCCTCCCCTCCTGCTCCTCCTCCTCCACCTCCTCCCCCTCCTCCTCTTCCTCCCCCTTCTTCCCTTCGTTCCCCTCCTCATCCTCCTCCTCCGCACCTGTCCCAATTCCTTTCACCACCACCACCACCCCCTCCTCCTCTCCCTCTTCCACTACTGCTTTTACCACCAGCAATCCCTCTCCCTCCTCCCCCACTGCCTTCACCACTAGTAATTCCTCAACCTCCTCTCCCTCCTCCTTTCCCTTCTTTCCCTCCTCCCCATCCTTTTTCTCCGCTTCCCCCTCCTTGCTCCCCTCCTCTTCCTCCCCTCGGTTCTTTGGGAGCTTCAGTCCAAATCTCTTTTCAAAATCCACATCCTTGCATCCAAACATGTACCCAAGCCCGTACTTCTCCGCCTTACCCGCTTCCAGCAGCAGCTTATAACGAGGACGGAGCCTCTTCTCCACGCTCCGCGTCAGCAGCGCCGGCCACATCGCCACGTCAGCAAGCCCCCGCCCCATGTCCTCCACAACGAATCGAATTTTCGATTCTAGGGTTTCCCACGTAAACGCAATAACCAGCGGCATCTGATTCATCATCCGAACCGCGGTTTCCCGCCCAAAAAGGTTTATCAAATTCGTTAGAGTCACAACCATGCTGTCCCAATTCTGCCCCAGCAGCAGCGGCTGGCGCATCAGGAATCGGCGCGCTTGCTCCTCACCAAAATACTCCACCATCCCCTTATAAGTCGCTTCCGTCGTTTCGTGCTTCACTAAAAGCAGCTGCGGGTATCGCCGCAAGTAGTACAGCATATCCCCGTTTTTATCCCCCAGGATCGACTGGATCAGCAAAACCTTCCGCTGGATCTCCGACGCTCTACCCCCCAAAACAAACGGGGAAGTTTCGAGAATATCCGCTACTGGGGACAAGCCTGCAAGCTCCAGCTGCCGAACCTTCTCCTGTAGGGTCGGTACGGTCAGGTTCAAAACAAACGGGAAACTCTGAACGACCTTGTCTATTCTCTTAACGCCTAAATCGTACCGCAGATAGTGCAAAGCCGCTGCGAGAGTCTCTTCCGAGACGGAAAACACGCAAGCGCGAGTCGCGGCGCGTAGAAGACTAATCGGCGAGATGCCGTACTTCTTAAATAAGGCCGTCTTCTGGCTGGTGAGGGAGTTGAAGTCCGTTTGGAAGAGCGACGGATTCCGGTGGAAAATAGTCAGAAGCTGTTTATCCGAGAGCGCGCCGTTAGAGAGGTGGCTGAGAATTAAGAGGTTCTGACTCGCTATAGAACCAATGCTGGCGTGGCGCCTGGGGTATTTGAGCGATAACTCGTGCATGACGCGTCTAAACCTGGCGGCTTCAGCGGGAGGGAACGAGTCAAGCTCTGCTATTACCGCGTCGTACTGTGTCGCGTACGGCCCATCCGTCCCCCCTTCGTCTCCGCCATTCAGCCTCTGCTCCCCCTCTTCCCCCTGTTCCCCTTCCCCCCTATGCCTTCCCTGTTCCCCCACGTCCTCATGCCGCTTCCGCCCGCAACTGCTGTTGCTGCTGCCAATGTTGTCACTGCCGTTCCTGCTGCCGTCGTCGATGGGCGTTGCATCCACGTCAGCAACTCGCGTGGCAAAAAGCGAATGCTTGCGCGGATGCTTCGTCGCTCCGCCTCTGCTGCGCGCCGCGAGACTCTGAGAGCGCGCAGAACTCACCGCTTTCCGCGGAACCGGCAAATGCGGGGGCGCACGAGCTGAATGGCACGCGCCATCGTCCCCGTACGCGCAGATCGCGCCAGTCGGAGGCGCTGGTGCGGAGATCCGGGGGCTGGCGCGGAGGAGCATCTCCGCGCGCGACTTTTTGAATCGACTTTAAAGTCGCGATAGCGGATGGACCGTGCACGAAGTTCTTCCCAATTCCGCTACTGCAAACGAATAGTCCCTTGCTGATTCGATGTTATTCGAGGCAGCAGTTATGGGGGCGGGAAGGGCGCTACGTTTGACTCAAGGATATGAGCAAGGGTGCTAACTGGGGGTTTTTAGAAGTTGGATCGGGACTTGGGAGCAGGCTCGGGGTATTATGAACGAGGTTTTAGAAAAAAGGGGCTCAAATTCGAAGGCGGGGGAGTGAAATTGGCGGCGAACAAGGGTTCCGTTATGCGAAATCGGTCGAAATATGCTGTACGCTGAAAGAACGAGCGAAACACACAGCCTATATGCAAAAATAGGAAATTTGTACAGAAGATAGACTTACATACGGAAATTCAACATAGACATCAGCCTACTCTTACAGCTGCCTTCATCCCCTTTTCACAATCTTGCCCTGTTAGAGATGCAAAGTACAGGCTGTACTTTTTTCTGCTCTGTGTAGGGACTACAAACTTGTACACCCCGTAAAATCTTGGGCTTAGAAGTTGCAGCGCTTGAGACCGATCACAATTATCATATGCAGCTTTGCTTTCAAGCCATTGTAGGTCATGCTGGCCAAGCCAACGGAACACTGGGAGTGGAAGACAAGGAGAGGGGGAAATATGGACCAATTAATATACAGGATGCAATATCTTTGTCTAAGAAGAATGAGCCCTTCTTGCTATGCTCCTAACATCGAGCTACAACAATCATTTAGCACATGCCTAGGCTGCTAAAAGGGAGCTACAACGCCTAATCAAGCAATACATGCCAGCTCACCAAGTATATCTCCTGGTTTGACGGGACGGCCCTGCCACTTTTGAGCGCCATACGTCCAGCCAAAGAACTTCTTCAGACCAAGACGAACCATGCGAGCCTGGACAACACAAAAGAGGCGAACATAGTGGGTGATAGGGTTGGAAAGAAATAAGAAAGTGAGTTGGAGTCAAATCTTGACATAAATGTACAGTCAGCAGGGCATACGAGTACAGACAGCAGAGCATACGAGTACAGACAGCAGAGCATACTAGAGTAGACTCAACAACGGACAATTTGGAAAACAGAGGGGGACCGAATTTACCTGACAGCAAGACGCGCCTGTTGCAGAGTTCCACCCCAGAAAAAAGAGGTCGTCACGTGATCGAATGAGGTGAGAGTGCATGTGGGAGTGGGAGGAGAAGGGACAGCCGAAGGAGAAAGTCACATCACGTCTTCACGGCAGGAAATGTGGTGGGGAGAGTGGGCGACGCGAGTTAGTGAGGACAATAAGCAGAGTGGGGGGGAATGCACGTCACATATCACAGGGTTCTCCCTTGTACCTATAACCGGTTTTCCTCGGTCTGGTTCGTGACCTAAGCGGTTTGTGGTCGCGAATTATATGAAAATCTCACGAAATACGCGTTAACTGATGGTACTGCACTTATCCGTACTGTGACCTGCATGACGCGGCATTGAAACGATGGCTCAAGGCGACTACAGGCTGCGAAGTTCGTGCAAGTTGATTAAAAGCCCTAGCAGCAGCGAAGGTACACGGTAACCAGGGTATGGAGCTGTTGCGAATGCAGCTGACGATACTTACTGCTACTATTCCTGTTTCGAAGGTACCGAATCACCGTATCACTACCGTAAGGGTGGGGGTAAAATGCCTCTTAGTAAACTGTGACTACTCGAGTTTGGCGATTTAGAACTGCTACAAAACGAAGCACGCACCTGAAAGCGCGAGGAGCGAGAGAAGCAGAAGCGCCCACGCCCTGGCATTCGCAGTGGAACACAACCGAAGCGCCATTACCGCCGGTGCGACAAATCACTTCGGCGGAATCAGCTGCTAGCACAGTCGGCGTCGCTCTAGGTCAAAACGGACGGACCGGACGGACCACGCTGACCAATAGTGGGACGCCGCCCCTTCTACGACGCGGGCTGAGGGAGGACCAGAGTCAAGATATAAACTCGCGAAGGCTCGTTCGACAATCAACAGCGCCTAGTGATTCCCAGACTCGAGGTGTTAAACTCTGAGGTAACCAAACAAGTTCTGGAGCCTTCCGCTTGGGACGGAGGAACGAAGGGCCGTAGGGGGGAAAGGCAGCAGACAGGGGGGCAGATGAGGAAACACGGGACGGATGCGTGGCGTGGGTTGTGTGCTGTGTGTGGGTGACTGGATAGAGGGGGGTGATGGTGTGGTAACGACGGTGATGGAATGGCAGCGATGGATGGTGGGGCAATGAAAAGAAAGACCATCCGAAGAAAGCAGCAAGAACCACGACAAGCGAGAGATGGAAGTAATGAATTTGCGCAACGGCTGAAACTTGAGCGAAAGGCTACCGAGATTCGCAAATCTTTCGTATTGAGGAATCAGTCCAACCTGCATCCTGTCGCGAACGGATCTGCATTGCATTTCTTGTCAATTTGATAAATATTGAGAGGTGGCGATTCGGTTTGGCCGCGAAGAGCTGAATAAGATATTCCCGCGTTTCATGTGATGGAGTGTGCAGTTGGAAAGTGCGTTAAGATCTTATCACTATAAACAGTGCTCTACATTTCTTGTATTTATGCTATCTAGCCTGTGTCCCCCTACTAACGTCAAATATCTGCAAAGCCAGAATTTTTATCTGAATATAGCACGTAACATAACTCTACTCTTTTTTTTTGGAAAGCTACAGTAAAGGACACTAATCATCATAGCTATCCCGTGATGAATATTGGGACTCTGATAGATCAGCCTGACTAGAGACTTCCACGACACCATCTCCAGTTGCGGGCACTTCGCCAGATGTAGGTCCATCCTGACTCTCTCCACCCATTGGTTGACTGGAAACCATCATGCTAGCCGCATCATACTGCGTGTATGAGTGCGGCAATACATAACCAAACTCCTCCGCTGATGTATACACCATTCCCATGTGGTCTGCGCCAGTACTTTCCGCCATGGGGTGCATAGGACTACCAGTGGGGTACATGGGGGTTCCCATGGGGTGCATAGGACTAGCCATGGGGTGCATAGGACTAGCCATGGGGTGCAAGGGACTGCCCATGCTCATTCCATGCATTGGGCTGCCTGTGATAGGTTGGGTGGTGTATGAAAGACCCGCTACAGACTGGGCGGGGCTGCTCATATAGGTTACGGGACTCTGCATTGTCGACCCTGACTGACCGCCGTAAACCGAACCGGACGTGTCCGAGCCTGTGCCGGTTGCTTCGGATTCAGAAACAGAGGCGGACTGGGGAAAGCTGAAGCTCCCTGTCGGCTGGTGTGCGCCTGAAGCCGTACCTACGTCTCCTCCTGCTGCCTCTGTTGCTGCTCCTGCTGCTTCTCCCTCTCCTCCTTCGCCTCCTCCTGCTCCTGCCCCCGCTGTTGCTGCTGTTGCGTGATACATCTGGGCTGGCATGTACCATGAGTTGACTTGAGCGATTTTCTGAGCTGCACCTTGGGCGACAGCTTGGGCGGCAGCCTGGGCGGCAGCACGGGCGGCGTAAGCGGCAGTGGCAGCACCTGGAGCAATATCCTCAGCTTCCCCTTGGACGGCAGCCTGGGCGGCAGCACGGGTGGCATAGGCAGCGGCATAGGCGGCAGTGGCAGCACCTGGAGTAAACTCGGTATAGAATGATGAGGATGTATTGGCCTCTGC